AAGGTAAATTGAGGATTGAGCTGACTTATTTGAGGAGGTAGAGCAAATGATGACAAATGTACACATACTCCCTGGAACCACCACTGTTTGGGGATAGAGTCTTTTTTTTTTTTTTAATTAAATATATTTTTTTAAGATTTTATTTCTTTATTTGAAAGAGAGAGCACGAGTTGGGGGGAGGAGCAGAGGGAGAGGGAGAAGCAGACTCCACCCTGAGCAGGGAGCCCAATATGGGGCTCGAACCCAGGACCCTGGGATCATGACCTGAGCCACCCAGGCGCCCTGGGGAAAGAGTCTTTTGGGGGGGGGGGGGCGGAAAGAGTCTTTTGAATGTAGAATCCAGAAATGGTAGTGCTCTACTATTGATCCAGGCCACAACCCCCTTTTCACACAGTCTCTGTCTCCATTATAAAAGCCAGTTCTAACCTTCTATTTAAATAAGTTCTCCATGGAAGCCTTGCTTGCTTTATGCAGCAACCTGCCTGGGGACAGGAAATATGCCTTGAACCTTTGCCTGAGGGCAAGGACCCTGTTGGCTCAGGCACTAAATTTCCTTCCTGCTATCTGCCCCTCTCCCGGGTTCTGAGTGTTCCACATCAGACTCCATTCTAGGTTCACTGCTCACTTCTGAAGACATCAGTACCATCTTGGAATCATCACCCTCCCGTCCTTGCTGGCCCTTTGCCTGGAATAAAACAGGGATTGTTGGGACCCTGGGTCATCTTTCTTTGCTTGCCAACCCGAGACCCTGCATTTGTCTCAAGGCTCCATCAGTCTGCCCCATTCTGGCCCTCCCTGGGTGACTAACACCTGTGCTCAGCTCTTCTCTCCTGCTGCAAAGCTGTGCTCTTTGTGTGTGGGCATGTCACAAATCAGGGTGACAACCATATGAATGAGGGGGAGATTCAACTTTTAAAATGATCTCCGATGTAGGAAAAGACATTAGGGTTCGAAGCCGAGGGCCAAGAAAGAATTCGTGAGACGTCATTGGTGCAAAAAGGTGATTTTATTAAAGCACGGGGACAGGACCCGTGGGAAGAAAGATCTGCACTGGGGGTCGTAAGGAATGAGTGGCCCATTATATACTTTCAAGTTGGGAGGGGGTTAGGGATAATGTAAGCCTCTAAGGAATTTGGAAGCAAGGTTTCCAGGACTTTGCGGGGGCTAGCTATTGTTGGGAAGAGATCATTTATTACCGTCTAATAAAACCTGAGTCATGAGACCCTTCGATGTATATCAGTGGGTCATATGCTTGGGGGCTGATTGCCAACATGTATTTTGGGAGGTAGAGATAAAGGAAGTTTCTAAAGGAATTTTTATATGTTAAAGGAGACTTTCAGGATCCTGGGGGTCGGGCTAAGATTACCTGTTGCCTTTAGCAAAGTATTAACTTGGAGGCAGTTGAGTCCCTAAAGGAATGTCACTTTGCCTGTTTCAAGGACTTGTCAATGGGCTTGTAAGGTTGTAAGGAAATTTAATAATTTTTCTTCTGCCTTTGTTTCCCACATCAATCTCAGCTATTTTTCATGAGTGATCCAAACCAATAGGGAAGAATCCACCAGGAAGGTTTTATTAGCAAGGTCAAAAATGGAATTTCAAGAGTCCAAGATGGGGAGGATCCAGGATGACAGGTGTTCATCAAAAAAAAAAAAAAAAAAAAAATGGGCCTGGGGTATGGTCTGTTTGACCACAGGAACCAAATGTCTATTGCAGTTACTAAAAAAGTTATCAAAGGAAAGGAGATATTAATCTTCCTCTAAATTATTTTTGCCTGTTTATGTTTGGAAAAGGTTTCTGACCCTGACTTGTCAGATTGAGGTCGGTCAGGATGGCTGGATTAAAATTTTAACTTCAGCAATGTCATGACATTCACACAAAGTTAGAGGGACTATTCTACATTTAAAAAAACTGAAGAATCATGAAAACCAAATGCAGCGTGAGCTCCTTTATATGATCCTAGATTGAAAAGCAAACAGCTAAAAAAGCATTATTTGTATCATAGGGAAATTTTATATGGTCTGTGTATAACTTTATTAAATATATTAAATTGCTGTTAATTTTCTTTTTTAAAAAAAGATTTTATTTTTAAGTAATCTCTACACCCAACTTGGGACTCGAACCCACAACCCTGAGATCAAGAATCACACATTCTGGGAGTGCCTGAGTGGCTTAGTCATTAAGCATCTGCCTTCGGCTCAGGTCATGATCCCAGGGTCCTGGGATTGAGCCCCGTATCGGGCTTCCTCACTCTTCCCCCTGCTTGTGTTCCCTCTTTCGCTGTCTCTCTGTCAAATAAATAAAATCTTAAAAAAAAAAAAAAAGTATCACACATTCCACCGACTGAGCCAGCCAAGCGCCCCTTGCCGTTATTTTTCTAAAGTGAGATAATGATGATGTCGTTTTGAAGACAATGTCCTTGTTCTTAGGAGATACACATTGTCATGCTAAAATAGTTGTGTGAAATGGTATGATGTTTCCAACTTTCTTTCAAATAGCTCAGAAAAATAAGAATTATACATAAGTAAAATCTAGGTGAAGAATATACAGGTACCTATTGTATCTGTCTTTCAACTTTTCTATAGGTTTGAAAATTTTAAAGAGGAAATTTTATCTTGAGAAACCATTGAGAGGAAAGTAACTTGGGCTTAAATGAAGAATGAAAGAAAAGCCAAGATTACTGTGTTCAATTATATGTGTTTCCTCAACTACCTCACAGGAAAATGGTGGGGCTTATTCAGAATGTCTCCAAAGAGCAAAGGTAGGATCAAGGCATGGGAGAGACCAGAAACTAGATTTTAGCTTAACAAAGAAAACCTTGCAGTAAGACTCTCATGCCTTGTCTATAGCCAGCTCCAGTAGCATAGAGAAGACAATTTTAAAAGTAATAATGTGTTTGTCACTTAATATGATCTTTGGATTTTTATTATCAGAGTGACCAGCAAAATCAAGGGAGCTGCTTGAATTTTAATCTAAGAGCAAGAGAATATCCGTACAGAATGAAAGTTAAAAAAACAGTAAAGATTTTCTAAATTATTGAATAAAGCTTGTTCAAAACACTGAAAGCAACCTATCTAACCGTTTATGCACGTACTAGATCATACAGACAGTGGTGTAAGAGATGATTCCACCTGATATGTAAGATTTTGCCCCTTTCACTTTTCTTTAAACTCTTTTCAGTAGTCAAGATGAAAGGCTTAGTCTTGTGGTTTTATATTTCCGACACCTCCCCAGAACATTTAGCAAGGTACAATACTTAACTAAGGACTGAAAAAAAATTAATTTATTTTTATTTTAATGGTTGCCTTCTTTTTAAAGTAACTTTCCAGGATTTCCATTTATGATATAGTCATATGTTTTTTCCACTTCAAGTAAATATATTATAGTCTGAAAAAATATATTATAATCTGAAAAAAATTTAATCAATTAAAAAATTATACCTGGGTGGCTCAGTCAGTTAAGCATCTGCCTTCAGCTCGGGTCATGATCCCAGGGTCCTGGGATCAAGCCCCATGTTGAGCTCCCTGCTCAGCAGGAAGTCTGCTTCTCCCTCCTCCTCTGTCCCTTCCCCAGCTTGTGCTCTCTCTTTCAAATAAATAAATAAAATCTTAAAAAAATAAAATAAAATAAAAAATTATACCAAGGGATATACCAATATGGCAAAAACTGTGCAGGGGGTATTTAGGTATTTGTCCTGGAGGAGGTTCTTTTTCTCTCCTGTGTAACTGAAGTGCTAGAGGCCATTCATTTGCAAACAAGACTCATCTCTAAGGAGAGCTGCCTCTTTTGATGATGAGCCTCTGAAGTTCTCCAGGGTTGATGTGGACAGATGCCATCTCTTCATGTGAAATAAAGCTACAAAAGTAGTCTGTCTTCATGGTTCTTTCTTCACTGTCTTGAATCTTCTGCAACTTCCCCTGAATTGCAATTCTTTGCATGCTGGTCTCCAGCCCTTCAGTTGCTTTCTCTTTGAGGACTTTCAAGCCTTTGAAGACTTAGCAAATACTCTAAAAGAAGGCTCAGAAATTTCCTTGACGGCGACTTTCCATGCAGTATTTACAAGCCTCAAGAGATGATTGAGAGACATCATATAATATGGTAGCACCTACATCAGATTGAGTAGTCTTTACAATCTTTTCCTTAGCATTGAACATCATTTGCCCTTTTGAAACATGTATACAAGAAGGACATCTTACTTTCTTTGACCTTCTTCAGTTTGTCCTATCATATTTCATTTTATACTATAGGCAAGCACTTTCTTTCCTTTTAAAAGTGTTAATTACTTGATATGTTTTCCTCCTTTTACTCTGAGACGTTAAAAACCATAGTATTATAAATCATAGTACCAATGGGAATCAGAACAAGCCTAAGTAAACCACTGAACCATCCTGCTTGAGAATACACTACTCTTGGTCACAAGAGAATCAAATGGTCCACCTTGTACAAACAAATCCCTCCCCATTCTTTGCTTGCTGCCACTGATTGACCATTCAGATAATAGGGGCGATCGATTCTTAATTTCTCTTGAGCATCATAGTATAACATATCTATGAATTTTTTTGAAACCACAATGTTCATAAGTAGAAAAATAGTGTTAATACCCAGTTTTTTTAATTTAAAAATTGTATATTGAACATTCGTACACCTGAAAATGAAAGTATTATCTAACAATGAAAATTCTTGCCTTGTGAAGCAGTAATCTTCCTTTTATAGGATCCTTACAGATGGTGACTAGATGATCACATGTTAGCGTTACATTTGTGAAGTGGGATGGTGTAACCATTACTGCCTCACGAATTCAATATTATATAAAGTTTCTGTGGCATAGAAGGACAATTTAAATGATATGTGTGCTTTCCTGTGTCAGCCCAGAGGAAAAAACGAAGATGATAGTTCTGCCAAAATTTGAACCAGACAGTACATATTCTGAATTATTACCAGGTTGTATTAGTAAAAACCAAATTATTAAAATACTTTTCTGGTGAAATTCATTTCTCACACAGATTTCCTCTGAATCTTTCCTGTAAAGTAAAGCTAGTGATGTCTCATAAGGATGTGCACCTTGGCTGGGTAAGTAAAATTTTCTAAGTACAAAGGACACTCCAAATAACTCATGAAGTATAATAAACATACTCAGGCATGTCAAATTCAAACTTTGATGTGTATTAATGACTCATTTTTTACTTACAGTTGTTATATAAAATCTTATTTTCAACTTAAACACAATATGAAAAGTTCAGAGGAAAAACCAAGACACTAGAAGGAGGATGGACATAAAAACTTCCTCTTTGATAATTGGTTTCACTATTTTGTATTAAAGATTTGCAACGAGGTCGCCTGGAGAATTAAATCCCTAGGAAATTTTCACTCAAATGAGGGAAGAAAGCAGTTTACTGTAAGAGTAAAAAAATATTTTTTTCTATATTTTATATTGCTCTGTATTATTTTCAAACCCAGTTTTCCAGAGCCAGGGTTTCAAGGACAACCAGAGTCTGATGTTACTCTCTCTAGATTTGCTTCTTGAAGCTCATCCGCCTCCAGCCTAGCCTGCGTTATGCTGGTGTCTCCTTGTCATACGCACGCTCAGCATAACCACTTAGAGCTTCATGTATATATTTACCTAGCCTACAGTTACATTTCCTTTCCCTTCCACCTATTCCCATTTTATTTTTTTAAAGATTTTATTTATTTATTTATTTAGCATAAATGGGGGCTCATAGAGGGAGAGAGAGAGCGAGAATCTCAAGCAGACTCCATGCTGAGCACAGAGCTCAACTCAGGGCTCGATCTCATGACCCTGAGATCCTGACCCGAGCCAAAATCAAGAGTAAGACACTTAACTGACTGAGCCACCCAGGTGCCCCAAAAGCTGACTAACTTAGCTGTCTTGTGTTTTTTGTTTTTTTGTTTTTTTTTTTTTTAGTAGGCTTCTGGTGCAGGGCTTGAACTCACGACCCTGAGATCAAGACCTAAGCTGAAATCAAGATTTTGCTTGATCAACTGAACCACCCAGCCGCCCCTTACCTATTCCCATTTTAGGGGAAGGAGTTGTATGGCTCCTTTAATACAGTTCTCTCATTTTTAAATTGAGAACCTATAGCCTAGCAGAACCATTTGAGATTTGCCCAATCAAAAAAGGATAAGCCACATCGTCTCCACGAGGTTTGATTGTTCCCAGTACACTCATTTATCTTCCTCTCCCATGAATTCCCTCAAAAGCAACATCCTTCTACATCTTTGCCAATACTTGGTATTGTCAACCTTTTGATTTTAGCCTTTGCAGTGGTGTGCAGTGGTATCTCATTAGGGTTTTAATTTGTATTTCCCTAGTGAGTACTAATACTGAACATGTTTACTTGTGCTTATTTTCAAGTCATTGATTTTCTTGATGAGGTGTCTATTAAAATATTTTGGCCATTTTTTTATTGGGCTATTGGTTTTATTATTGAGTTATAAGTTTTTTCATTTTCTTTTTTTTCCTTTCCTTCCCTTCCCTCTCCTCCCCTCCCCTCCCCTCCTCTTCCCTTTCCTTTCTCCTTTCCTTTCCTTTCCTTTCTCCTTTCCTTTCCTTTCTCCTTTCCTTTCCTTTCCTTTCCTTTCTCCTTTCCTTTCCTTTCTCCTTTTCTTTCCTTTCCCTTCTCCTTTCCTTTCCTTTCTCCTTTCCTTTCCTTTCCTTTCTCCTTTCCTTTCCTTTCCTTTCTCCTTTCCTTTCCTTTCCTTTCTCCTTTCCTTTCCTTTCTCCTTTCCCTTCCTTTCCTTTCCCCCTTCCTTTCCTTTCCCCTTTCCTTTCCTTTCCCCCTTCCTTTCCTTTCCCCTTTCCTTTCCTTTCCTTTCTTTTCCTTTCTCCTTTCCTTTCCTTTCTCCTTTCCTTTCCTTTCCCCTTTCCTTTCCTTTCTCCTTTCCTTTCCTTTCTCCTTTCCTTTCCTTTCTCCTTTCCTTTCCTTTCCTTTCTCCTTTCCTTTCCTTTCTCCCTTCCTTTCCTTTCCTTTCCTTTCCTTTCCTTTCCTTTCTCCTTTCCTTTCCTTTCCTTTCCTTTCTCCTTTCCTTTCCTTTCTCCTTTCCTTTCCTTTCCTTTCTCCTTTCCTTTCCTTTCTCCTTTCCTTTCCTTTCCTTTCCTTTCCTTTCTCCTTTCCTTTCCTTTCCTTTCTCCTTTCCTTTCCTTTCCTTTCTCCTTTCCTTTCTCCTTTTCTTCCCTTTCCTTTTCTTTCCTTTCCTTTCCTTTCCCTTCTCCTTTCCTTTCCTTTCCTTTCTCCTTTCCTTTCTTTTCTCCTTTCCTTCCCTTTCCTTTCTCCTTTCCTCTCCTCTCCTCTCCTTTCCTCTCCTCTCCTCCCCTCCCCTCCCCTCCACTCCCCTCCCCTCCTTATTTTAAGTAGGCTTCAGACCCAGCATGGAGCCCAGTGCAGGGCTTAAACTCATATGTCTGAGATCAAGACCTGAGCCAAAATCAAGAGTTGGATGCTTAACCAACTGAGCCACCCAGGCACCCCTAAAAGTTTTTTCTTATATGTATTTTGGGTACAAGTCCTTTATCAGGTTTATGTTTTGCAAATGTTTTCTCCCAGTTTATGACTTGTCAGTTCATTTTCTTAAAGTTGTCTTTTGAAGAGCAAATGTTTTCAGTTTTGATGACTCCAGTTTACCAACGTTTTCTTTTTTGGAGTATCCTTTTGATGTCATATCTAAGACATTTTTGCCTAACCCAAGATTGCAAAGACTTTCCTCTTTGTGGTTTTAGTTCTTATATTTAGGTCTACAATGTCTTGAGTAAGTTCTTATACATGGTATAAGGAAGAGGACTAGATTTATTTTTTTGCATTTAGATATACAGCTTTTCCAGCACCATTTCATTTGTTTAAAAGATAATTCTTATCCTTTTAGATTTCCCTGGAAACCTTATTAAAAATATATTGACCATATATGTATAATTTATTTCCAGACTCTATTCTGTTCCATTGATCTATGCCTATCCTTATGCTAATATCACATTGTCTTAATTACAGAAGCTTTATAGTAAGTCTTAAATCAGGTAAGGTAAGTCCTCTGACAGTGTCCTTTTTCTTTTTTTCTTTTTTTTTTTTTTTTAAGATTTTATTTATTGACAGAGAGAGTCACAGTGAGAGAGGGAACACAAGCAGAGGGGTGGGAGAGGGAGAAGCAGGCTCTCCATTGAGCAGGGAGCCCGATGTGGGGCTCGATCCCAGGACCCTGGGATCATGACCTGAGCTGAAGGCAGACGCTTAACAACTGAGCCACCCAGGCGCCCCTGACAGTGTCCTTTTTCAAAATGATTTGGGCTGTTCTGTTTGTATTTCTCCATAAATTGCAGATCTTCTTGTCAATTTCTACAAAAGCCTTCTGGGATTTTGGTAAGGATTGCATTACATCAATGGGTTAACTTAGAAGGAACTGCCAACTTAGCAATATTAAGTCTTTCCCATCCATGAATGTGAAATTCTTCTCTATTTAAGTCTTTAATTTCTTTCAACAATCCTATATAGTTTTCACTGTACAAGTTCTACATTTCTTTTGTTAAATGTATTCCTAAGTATTTTGATCTTTTGATATTGTGAATGAAATTGTTTCCTTAATTTCATTTTTGGATTGTTCATTGTTAGCTTACAGAAATAAAATTGACTTTTCTATGTTGATTTTGTATACTCTGACCTTGTTAACCTAGATTGCTAATTCTAGTTGTTTGGGTTTTTATATATATATATATATATAAGGAATATATATATGTATATTCCTTCTACATACATGACTCTGTCATCACAAATAAAGACAGTTTTACTTTTTCTTTTCCAATCTGTATGCCTCTAATATCTTTATTTTTTTATTGCACTGGGCAGAATCTCCAGTATAATCTTGAATAGAAGTGATGAGAATGGACATCCTTGTCTTGCTCCTGATTGGGGGTGGGGGACAGAATACAGTCTTTCACTTCTATGGGTGGTATTAATTGTAAGTTTTCAGAGATGCCCTTTACCAGGTTGAGGAAATTTGTTGAGAGTATTTTTTTTAAACCATAAATAGCTATTGAATTTGGCCAAGTGTTTTTTCTACATCTATTGAGATGGTAATATGTTGTGTTTTTTTTTTGTCCATCGCTGTATTAATATAGTGCATTACATTAATTGATTTTCAGATGTTGAACTAACCATGTATTTCTGAGTTAAACTCCACTTGGTCATGATATATAATTGCTTTTATATGTTGCTGAGAACGGTTTAATATTTTGTTAAGGATTTTCCTTCTATATTCATGAGGGATATTGGTCTGTAGTTTTCTTATACTGTCTTTGTGTATGTGTTACTTTTTGACTTGGAAACAATACTGTACGTGTGTGCCTTAAGGTCACAAATACAACAGTGAATAATGTTCACTACATTCTCTACTCTCATGGAGTTTACAGTCCTGTTGGAAAAGTCATAAATACTAAAAGAAAATAAATGTTATTTTAGATATACAATTATAATTGTGATTGCTTTAAAATAAATAAATAATGTTATATGACTCTTTAAAGTTATGGAACCAAATGGAGAGGGATAGGTGGACATTAAAAAAAAATTTTAATTCCAGTATAATTAACAGAGTGTTATATTAGTTTCAGTATAGTGATTCAGCAATTTTATGCATGATAAGTATACTTTTAATCCCCTTCACCTATTTCACCATCCCCCCACCCCCTCCTCTCTGGTAACCACCAGTTTGTTTTCTATAGTTAAGAGTCTGGTTTTTCTATTTGCCTTGCTTTATACCTCGTTTTTTTTTTTTGTTTCTTAAATTCCACACATGACTGAGATCATATGGTATTTTGTCTTTTTCTGACCATTTTTTAAATTGGATTATTTGTTTTCTTGGTGTTGAGTTGTATAACTTCTTTATATATTTTGAATACTAAGTCTTTATTGGATATGTCATTTGCAAATACCTTCTCCCATCCAGTAGGTTGTCTTTTAGCTTTGTTGATTATTTCCTTTGCTGTGCAGAAGCTTTTTATTTTGATATAGTCCTAAGAGTTTGTTTTTGCTTTTGTTTCCCTTGCCTCAGGAGATATTTCTAGAAAGATG